TGAAATTCATCGCGCAGGATTTCAATTATTTTCAATACAATTTTACAGGAATTCAATTATTTACAAAAATATTAGAGTTTTTCACAGGAATTCAATTATTTTGAGGCATTTTAATAATATTCTTTGCAAAATTAAATTATTTTCATAAATAACAATATTCTTCATAAGAATTAAATTATTTTTAAAAGTAATCAATTTCTTCTTGGAAATTCAATTATTTTAAAAAAATACTAATAAAATCGTTCGCAAGAATTCAATTATTGCCTAAAATTTTAATTCAATTCTTTGTAAAATTTAATTTTTTTCTCTATAAAATTTTTGCAATTTAATGATTTTCAATGTCAACTATTTTCATAAAATTTCTAAGCAGAATTCAATTATTGAAAACATTTTTTGTAAAAATCTTCGTAAGAATTCAATTCTTTTCATGAATAATAAAAATTTCTCAGGAATTCAATTATTTAAATCAGAATTTGCATAAAATTAGTCGAAGGAAATCAATTATTTAACAATCTTTATAAAATTTGTTTGAGATAATTCAATTATTCTTTTCTATTGGATTTTAATAAAATTCTTCCTAAGAATTCTATTATTTCGAAAAATAACAAAATTATTCTGGAAAATTCAATTATTTTGAGTTATTTTAATAAATTTTTTTTACAAAATTCAATTATTTTCATAAATAACAATATTCATCGCAAGAATTCAATTACTTTTTAAAAGTAATAAAATTTTTCTTGCGGAAATTTAATTACTTTTTAAATATTCTAATAAAGTCGTTGCAAGAATTCAATTGTTATTTTCATAAATAATAAAATGCTTTTTAGGAATGCAATTATTTTCAAGAAAATTTAATAAAATGCCGCACAGACATTCAATTATTCTCAAAAATTCTAATAGAATTATTTGTAAAATTTAATTATTTGTAAAAAATTTTCGCATTGCAATGATTTTCAATGTCAACTATATTTTAATAAAATTTCCAAACAGAAATCAATTATTTAAAAAATTTGTTGTAAAAATCTTCGTAAGAATTCAATTATTTTCATGAATATTAAAAATTTCTCAGGAATTCAATTATTTAATTTCGAATTTTCATAAAATTAGTCGAAGGAATTCAATTATTTAAAAATTTTTATTAAATTCTTCCCAAGAATTAAATTATTTTTATAAATATTTAAATTTTTTCATGAATAATAAAATTCGTTGCAGGAATTCAATTTATTAGCAGGATAAGAAAGAAGTAAATATTTTTTGATGAAAATTAGGAAAAAGTCGGGAAAATAAAATATAGAATGGAATTTTTGTCAGTTTTGTTGAAGTTTTCAAAAACGAGTTGTTTTTTGTCGTCAAGTTTAATTTTTCGATATCTACTTTTTTACTTTTCTTTTTTTAGTTTGAAAAAGCTACTTTTTGCTACTTTTCTCAAATTAATTATCGAGTGCGAAGTCTGCAAAAGATATTTTTGTTCCCAAAACAATCTAAAGAATCAAATCGAAAAATTCTGCAAGTTACAGATTTTTGAACCTATAGTTTTGCTTCTAATTTTGGATTTTGAAACAAAAAGGCGAAAAACAGGAGTTTGTTTGTAAAATCACACAAATCGAAATTACATCCAAATTTGCCACTTGTTCTGGAAAACGAATTGAAATTATATTTTGTTTCTGAATCGGAATTATTTTTCATTTTGATTTTCAAGTTTCCCAGAAAGGAATCTGTAGATGGGTTTTTAATTTAATTTTTCAATTGAAATTAAATTAAAAATTTTAAATATCTAAACCAAAACTATTGCTAATTATAGTTGTTGGATATTAAGAGTAGGTACAGAATCAAAAATTAAGACTACTCTGTTTATGAAATTATGAATATAAATATTATAAATATTATATTATAAATTAAAACTTGTTTTTGCTTCCGATATTTTTGAGTTCAATTGCAAATAGTTGAACGAAATAAATAGGAAATAAATAGGAACATGGTTACAGAGAACATGGTCCCTGATTACTAATATACTAGTACTACAATTAATTTTACTAATGCTGCGCTGCTACAACTATTACTACTATCCCTACTTTAGTACTACTACTACTAATAATTTTTCTACTACTACTATTACTACTACTATGATTATCACTATTATGATTATCACTATATTATTACTAAAAAAACTATTACTACTAAACTAAATAATGTAATAAAAATATTACTAAATTACTGCTACCGCTACTGCTACGCTCAACTACAGATAAAAAAATATACCGTACTAATCTATTTTTTTTTTTCTTAAATTTTTTTTTTATTATTGTTAATCAGTTAACACTCACAGAAGCTTGTCAAAGATCTCTGTCTCTTTCTTTCTGTGTTTGTCTTTGTTCCTATAACCGATTTCGTCCTTTTCCATAATAAAATGAATACCTGGTCAAACTAATTTTGAAATATTTTTAATAATATTTCTGTCAAAAAATTATTCATTAGATGAAGCTGATTAACAAATTATTTTTTTTCTTAAGTACCATTCTTTAAATTGTTCTATTTATTGACAGCTTTTAAGAATTGGAAAAATAAATTCGAAAATTTCTTTATTTAATTTTTAATTTATTCAGATATTTATTGTATTTTTATTTTTTATTCAATCCTTTTATTCAGACCAGATCTTTTATTCAAGGTCTGGTCCTGTCTACTTCTGCAAATAATGGAGCCTGAAAATAATATTAAAAAATAAAAATTTAATCTTTGAATAATCTTTTTATTATTTGTATGTAAATGACGATAATTATGAAATTAGAAAAAATAAGACAGTGTAAGAAAAATTATAAGGAATAAAAATTTGTATCGTAAAGATAAATTCTGAATAAAATGAGTCTAGGAGAAGCGGCCCCCCACCAGGGAGTAGAAGGTTAAAGAGTGGGGGGACGCTTCTTTTAATGTCCGCTAACTTTTAATTTACGATTAAATTTATCGTAATACAATTATTGTGTAAATTAAATTTATTATAAATTAACTTATTTCTTATTTTGCCTCTATAGAAAATAAAAATATTCCACTAATACTGAAATATTAAAAAATAATTGTTCTTTCATTTTTCTTTTTTATTTTGCACTTCTTTTCTTTTTCTTTCTTTTCTTCTGTTATAATCTAAAATATAATTTATTAATATTGAAAATTGAAACATTCTTAAAAGCTGTCTTTAAATTTATACATGAAATATCAAGTTTTTAAATTTAAAAAAAAAAAAAAAAAAATGCGTGTTTGTGCGCGTGCACATTCTTTTCCATAATTAATTTTACTGAAAAATATCTTTTACTTTTTCTCCTTGAGAAAATTTTTATATGTGAAACTGGCAAAGTTTACATACATTTCTTTTATGCCTCCACTTACTTTTTTCTTTAATTTTATTACAACCGTTTCTCAAATAAAAAAAATTACATTTGTGATTTAAGTGTTGTATGACAATTTAATTTATCCAACTTAATGAAAAGAAATTTAATCTTTATTACTAATTAGAATTTTTTTTTTTTTTTTTTTTATTTATTAATAAAATTAATAGTATAGAATTAATAAAATTAAAAAGAATAGATTTAAATTAATAAATAATTAAGAAAATAAGTTACAAAAGCCCCTGATCAGATAGACATTAAATTTGTAATTTATAATATTCTATTATCTTCGAATTCTTATTAACTTTCTTTTTGTATTTTCAGGGTTAGAATGAATATTTTTCAATATGGTCTTTAAATTATTTTTCTGTGTGTGTATGCAAATTAAAAAAAAAATTATTTATTGGTGGAGGGTGCGATTAATTAATAAAAATAAATGTTTATCATCGTGCGCGCTCGCAGACACGTTTACATCTTAAATAAAAAGCTTCTAGCTGTGCTGCTTTTTTAATTATATATTATAGCGATTAATTCGTTTCATATTTTTTTTGCGACGTATTTGTTATAGCAGTAGCTGTCTGTACCATGTAATTAATAATTAATTGTTAGATATCATTTTTCGTTACACTAGTTCTCAATTTATATTCTATTCATTAGATATCATTATTTTTAAAATCATATTTATTTTCAAATTATATATTTTTATTTTTATTTATTTATATTTATTTATATTTTCTTTTATTTTTTAGCTCCTTTACATGGCCAGACATAGTTTTTTTTTAAATTTCTAATTTGTTTTTTTTTTAGAAAAAAAATTTATCACTCGTTAAATTTCTTTTTTCGGCAATAAAAATTTTCTTTCTATTTTTAATCCCTATTTTTTTAAATAAACAATTAAAAACTAGTTAAAATTTTGAACTAAAAAAAAAAATTATTAGAAATTAGATTTATTTGAAAAAGCGAATTTTTAAAGTTATAATCAATTTTTTATGGAAATTTTTCGAGTTTATATTGAGCAACAACTTGTCGGATTTTCTCATTAAGAAGTTCTGTAAATTCTCTCACGGAAAGTTTATTCAAATTAAACAGCGAGTGGTAATTTGTTTGTAAGAAGCTTTTTGTTTATTTTGCTTCTGCCAAGATTCATCACTTTATCATGGACCCTCTTTATTATTTTACACCGTTCGTTTCGCCTCAAGTTTATAATTTTCTTTTCTTAATGAAATAATAATTATATTACAATTTTTAATTATTAATCTTCTTAATGAATTTATAATAATTATATATACTCTGCAAAATAATTTACTTTCGGTAATGAAAATAATTTAAATCCACTTTTTGCGTCAAGTTAAAACTAATTATAATTATATTTATTATATATTATAGTTGTAATTGTTATAATTTAATAATTATCAACTTTTTTTTTTTTTTTTTAATGATTATATTCTTGTGATTATTAAAATTAAAATTATTATTTCACAATTAGTACTTCATTTAAAGGAAAATTTGAAATTTCGTGGTCGAAACGTTCGGTACATTTTTCTTCTTCTTTTTGTCCGAATTTTTCCGCAGTTTTTTGCATCACTGAATGATTTTTCATTTCCGTTTCGTGGGCCAATTTAGAGCGAGGAAACCGGAGCGAACGTACTGACGATGTTAGACCACCAAGGCGGTAAGCAAGAAATTTTTGTGAAAAAGCAAAAAAAAAAAAAAAATTAACTGCAAATTGAATTAAAATTAAATGTGGCTATTATTTTTTGATCGCGGCTGCTGCTATTATTATCTTCTCTTGTCCAACAAAAAAAAATCGTGTTTAAATGTGCGAATTCATTTCTTTACATCATCTCTCTGTCTCTAATCTTGACGCTAATTTTATTAATAAATACTTTCTTCTATTTCTTAATTATTAACTTTTGTAATATTATATTTATACTAATTATTCTAATCATTTGTTTACTGTTGCTTATTTCGCTCGGTGTCTCTCTTCGTCGCTCTCGGCATTTTAATATTTCTTGCCGTCAAAAGTTCCAAAGAGACAATAAAAAAAATATATAAAATTTACGAATTTAGATATGTTAATGAAAAAAAAGATTTGACTAGACGTTCCCTGATTGATTCATTCTTTGTTTAATCTAAAAAGTATTTTTTTTTCTTTTTTTTAATACCTTTTTATTTTATTGTTTTGTAATGTTATTTAATTTATTGAATTCCGAAATTTTGGTATTTGAACGATTTGAAAAAATGTCCCCTTCTAATCGAATCTTTTTTTCAACACAATCTTCGTTTGCACCTGGATTGGTTTCAATTTGATTTGTGAAGAATTCAAAACTTTGGTTTGGATTTTAATGTAATATGATAAATTGTTTTTAATATGATAGTAATTTTTGTTTTTCTATACAGATTGTAGTTAAATTCCGGTGAAAACCGAGGTGAAAACGCAGAGATTGAATTATATTTGTCTATTAATAGCAATTTAAAAAATTCTTTTTCTTTTTAATATTTATGTAGTTGGGAACTCTCGTAAAAGGTTTCTTTTTTTTATCATTGTTATCATTTTATATTTATATTATATATAAAATTTACGAGAAGGTCCCCACTTTAGTGATTACATCGATTTACATCAACGACTAACCATTTTAAATCCTCTCATCCCTCCGGAGGAGTAATTTATTACCAGGGCTATTATATGCTACGTACAAAACGACGCTAGATGAATATTTTAACTCTTTCGTTCCCAGACTCCTGTTGTTGTAATATAAATTGAAATTTCTTTTTTTCTAAATTAAACTATTTATCATTTTTCCAGAATTCTCTCGCTTCCAGTTCATCAATATTCTCGTACATAAATATGACGATAAAACAAGTTACAAGTGCAATGAAAATCGGAAAGAAAAATTTCTGATTTTATATCATCAAGAGTGTAAAAACAAGTATTATTTATTATTAGTAGAAGAAAAATTTAAAAATAAGGCTCTTTGGCCTAACGTAAAATTCGAAGGGTGGAAAAAGATCAATTCTTTTTAACACCGTTCCCTTGGACTTATCAAATTGACGCCAAAAATTTGGTTTAATTTTGGTATCAATTCGTTGATACGAAAAAAATTTGAAACTCTTAACACTTTGAAGTAAACAGTGGATTTCAATTTTTGATATCATTTTCTTAAATATATTTTTTACTGAGAGTCTCATATCCGATTCTTTTATAATTAGAATTAAAAAAAAACTAGCATCAGAAGAGGGGTACTCTTTTTTTCATTATAATAAAAGCAAAGAATTCTGGAATAAAATTAAATTTTGCCATAAAAGAATAATTTTGTAATCCGGGAACGATGAGTTTGTTGTTGTTTTTTTTTCTTTGGCTCTGTGGTTATCTGATGTTAACGTCTCTGATTGGTCGGTTGCCTGTTTAGAGCCACGAGGTCGGGATGAAAAGTCTCGTTATGCTGGACGAACAAGGCGGTAAGCCATCTCACCTAGCTAGTTTAAAATAATTATTGTCAATTACTAAAAAAAAAGAAAAAAAATATTTTAGAAAAAAAAAAAATAAATAAACGATAATCATTAAATTGTCCAACACAAGCAGCTCGAGCGAGCTCGTACGAAAAAAAAACCCACCTCGCCGACACATACGTACACACACGTTGAACACAAAAGCAAGTACGTAAGTTCAAGTTCAAGTTGGTCCCGAGGCCAATGAAAAACTGAATCTATGTCGGGGGACACCGATCGGAGCTCTTCTTACTCTATTTGTTAATGTACGTACGGAACAAAAATCCTAAAAACCCCGCTTTTTTTAACTGACCATCGATACTAATTATCAATTACTAATTACTAATTACTAATTTTTGTTACTAATTATTAAATATCAGTTACTAATCATTCTCACTGACACCTTAATAGCCAAAGCCAAAATAATCTTTAACCCTCTGCAAAAAAAAAGAATGAGCCTCACACGCGTGGTCCAAGTTCTTTTGCGATAAAAATTAATTTAAAAATTATCCATTTATGGTCCACAATGGACTGTGGAGAAATGTAGTAAAAAAAAGCTTTGAATATTTAATAAATAATTTTTTAATAATTTTAATAAATATAAAGTCATTTTATGATAAAATTTGTTTGTTAAAAAATATTAATTTTTGTACAGAGATTTTTTTCTTGAAGAAGAACTTATTGTTTCTCATAATAGTAAAATTTGCTTATAAACCTTTTGAGAGGTTTTTTTATGCTTTAATAAAAAAAAATTTAATTGTAAGAAACTAATTCTATGAATTGGTTATTTTTTAACCAGATTATTATTTGTAATATCTTGCAAAAGGAATAATTAAAAATAGTTTCGATTTGTTTATTTTATCTTAAGATAATTTCCCTAGATGCGATTTTTAAAAACTACTACTTAAAAAAAATTCCTAAAAGAATTCAATTGTTTAAAAAGAAATTTTAATAAAATTCGTCTCAAGAATTTAATTATTTTCAAAAGTAATATAATTCAATTATCACAGAAATTCAATAATGTTCCAAATATTAACAAAAATTATCGTCAAAATTTCAATTATTTTTATAAATAATAAAAATTTTTCTCTGAAATTCAAATTATTTTCAAAAATTTTAATAAAATTCTTGGCAGAATTTCAATTATTTTTAATACAATTATTTTCATTAAATTTCTCGAAAAATGAAATATTATTCTTAAAAATTTTATTAAAATTTGTTGATAAGATTTTTTATGAAAATTCAATTTTAAAAAACATTCAAATATTTAACAAAATATTTATTTTTATATATTGAAATAATTGAATTCTCGTAAAATTTTCTAATAAATATTGATTTAAAAATTATTTTCATGTTAAAATTTTAGATTATAATTGAATATTGAAAGCATTATAGCGTGGATTTTTAGAAATAATTGAATTTTCAAAAGGTTTCAAGTTAAAATCTTTGAAAATCTAAATTTTTCATATTTTTAACTAACAATTCTGTGGAATTAATTTTTTTTAAAAAAGTTTAATAGAATTTTTTTAATTATATGAAGTTTTTAATTTTTTATATATTTAATTGAAGAATGTCAGAATAATCGAAATTTTGTAAAATAAAATTTTTAAACAAAAGAATTTGAAAATTCTCAAAGAACTTTTTCAAAAATTATAAAAAAAAATTGACTTAAAAAAGAATTTTAGTTATTTATTTTTATCTTGAAAAATCAGGGAATTTAAAAAGAGCAAAAGTGTGACAACCTTGATTTTCTTACTAACGGACAATATTTTTTTGGTAGTCCACATTCTATCGAGACAGGAATCTAGGAAAATTATTCTCGATTTTATTATAGTTTATCAATTATTTTAAAATATAGTAGTAATTTTATTTCTCTACTTTCAAAATTTAATTTATTTTTTAAATTCTATTCTATTGCAAATTAAAGAAAAAAAAAAAAAAAAATTAGAAACATATTTATTTAAATATTCAAAATGGTAAATTGTAAATATTTCAGAAATAATAAATGTTGTTATTGTGCAGTAAATAATTTGTTTCCTCTCTATTATTTTTCTCTATTTACTAAAAATAAATTTAAAAAAAAAATATTCGCAAAACTTTGACCACGCCGGTCTAATATTTCAGTATTCGTCACCTTTCATCTTGTATATAGATAAATTACCCGCAATTTTCTACTAAAACAGAAATAAAATGCATTCTTGTTTACGTAACAATATAAATATATCAGAAACACAATCGTACTTCGTGCAAAAAACGAGAAACCATAACTTTTTTTTTTGCTGTTCAATTATGTCATTTGTAAATTGTGTCTAAATCATGAAACTTTTTCCCCCTCTGTTTCTTTCTTTCTTACTCTCTCTTTCTTTCAGTCTACGACAAAATTGTATCATGTTTCTTGATCAATGTGTTAAATAAAAAAAAAACTTTTTTTAAATATTTTTTTTTTGATGGAAAAAAGTGTTATATTTGTTTGAGTGTTTCGGTGTGGATGTTCAGCATGATTGTGTGTGTACTTTTACTTTTTTTTTTAAATGTTGCACGTATGTGTTTTGTGGGTGAATGTTCTGAGAAGTTTCAAGGTAATCATTAGGATAATTGCTCCAGTCGTTGGCATCCTTGTAATAATAAGAAATACCAAAAAAATTAGGATGTTTAGCGTATAATAATTGAATTCTTCAAATTTTTTTTTTTTTTTTCTAAAATCGAGTATGTAACTCAGTATTTCTTGTTAATTAAAGGCAAACAAAAAGGGTGTCAAACACTGGGTCAGTTACCCTAGATTGTTTAGAGAAACTTTTAGAGAAAAAATAATAAGGCAATTAAAGAATAAAAAGAATAGAAAAAAAATTAATAAAAAAAAAATTATTAAAAAAAATAAAATAAAAATAATAAAAAAAATAAAAGAAAATTTAATTTAAAAAATAATGAATTAAATATAAGGAATTACAAAAAAGGAAAAATTACTGAAATTTGCAAAATTGTTGAGTTAAACAAAATAAAAAATATAGTAATTGTAAATTAAAAAAAAAATTGTAAAACAAATTTGCCTTTAGTAAAAAATTTTATTCTAAAAAAATGAATATCTTTTTTCTTCTCATAACATAATTGATGCAGATGTGTATTTTTGTGCTTCTAAATATTTTCCTTTTGTTCAAATTGTTCTTATTTTTTTCTTCTATTTATTCACAATTTTCTGATTTAAATTAGAAAAATTTTTCATCGATGATTTTCTTTAAAAAAAAGAACCATATTATTTTAATTTCAAAAGATTATTATTATTTTTAAATATTTTTTATTTTTTTATTACATTTATTTTTAATTTACTTTTTTATTTTATTTTTTTTTTATTTCTTTTCTTTGTTTTTTTTATTTTATTTTTTTATTTTATTTTACATATTTAATTAAAAAAAACAAATTGTTGCCAATTTTTTTTTAAATTTGACAAATTCGATTTATATTAATAGATTTTTTTCTCCAATTTACTTTAGTTTTCACTGATATTGAGATAAAAAAAAGTATTTTATAGAGTAGAAGTAAAAAATAAAAATAATTGAATGACTGTGCGAATGAAAGAAATTTCCCCTTTTTATTGAAACAAAATTGATTTTTCAATTTCTTTAATAAAATAAAAAAGGTCTGGTTTCTGGTACTTTGCACGAATTGTATTCGATTAGCAAAAGGTCATTTGAATCTGAAGCAAGAAATTTTTTTTTCAAAAAAAAAGAAACGATAACGAAATATACTTAAACAATTTTTTTCAGAAAATTTTTTTAAAACACTTTTTGGTGTCTATAATTTTTTTTTGTTAAAAAATGACCTTTTGCAACAAAACAAAAAGAAACTGTTTAAAAAAAACCAGCCTTTAATTGTTCGAAATCTAAAGTTGTAAAAAAAAAATTTAACGATTTGAAAACTATTGGACTTGTATTTGTTGGATGTTGATCTTCTTTGCCTCTTGTTGATGTTTCTGTTTCGAGTATAAGAAAAAAAAAACAGTCTCTTAGTTTTCAGTCGTCAATTTTTATGGAAAAAGAAATGTTGTACTAAAATTTTTCTTTTCTTTCTTTTCCCTTCATGAAAAATAGAACAATTGGATCGAATCGAGGAGGGAATGGACCAGATCAATGCTGATATGCGAGAAGCTGAGAAAAACCTGACGGGAATGGAAAAATGCTGTGGACTTTGTGTACTTCCTTGCAATAAGTAAGAAATATTTTTCATTGTACTTTTTTTTGTTATTATTTTATTTTATTGATTTTTATTATTTCCAAAATATTCTCGCTTTGTCATTAAAAATTTTTAAAACAAATTTTTACAAGAAAAATTGTAAAAGTTTTAATAAAGCATTTAAAAAAAAAAATAGTACGAGTAAGAATCAGAAAATAAATATCTGATTTTATATCGAGAGTGTAAAAAAAGTATTATTTATAATTAGTAGAAGAAAAATTAAAAATGAAAATTATAAAACAAACAAGTTTTATAATAAGTGGAAGAAAAATTAAAAATGTTCGAACAGTTCATTTAAAAAAAAAAATCCAAGAAGAAATGTCAACCTTCACCTTTCTTTATTCAATTGCATCACTCGATAAATTCTCTTTTTCTCTCTTTTTCTCCTTTTTTTAAGTCTAATTATAAAAATAAATAGCGTGAGAATTATAAAGTCAAATATTTATTATTACTGTGCGTGACTTGAGATAAGAGAGAAAGAGAGAGAGAGAGAGAGAGAGAAAAAAAAAGGGAAATATCTTTTTATTGAATTCTCGATTTATTTGTGTTTTTTTTTTTAATGAAAACAATATTACGATGACTTAAAAAAATAGAAGAGGAGTTTCTCTAAAACCATTGAATTGAAATACAACCGGAGATGCTATTCAGTTCTGTTTTATATATTTTATCGTAAAAAAGTATCTCTTGGATTCCTTGTTTCAAGTATAATAATAAAATGCAACTGTAAGCGCATACTTTTATCTTCTATAGAAAGTTTTTATAAATATTTATTTTTTTTGTAATAAATTTACGATTATTGAAAAACGCTCGTCATTTTTTTTTTTTTTTACTTTTGTTGAGTGTTTGCGAAATTTTTTAACGAAGAGAGATATTTTTTTATTAAAGCAAATATTCTAATATTTTTTTTTTACTTTTTTGTGAAAAGAGAATTTTGTTATCTTGAGGAGTTTTATGTAAGGAATTATTTGAAAATTTTATTTTTAGCAAGAAACAATTTTTTTTCTGTTCAAGATCTCTTTTATTCAAAGAAACATTTTTGATTAGGATATTTTTTATTTAATTTTTTATTCAAAGAACAGAACAATTATTTTTATAAATAATAAAATTTCCACAAGAATTCAATTAAAATTCTATTATTTTCCAAAAAATTTCGCAAAAATTAATTATTTAACAAAAATTGTTTACAATTCTTCACAATAATTCAATTATTTTCATAAATAATGAAATTCGTCGAAAAATTTCAATATTATTTTTAATGCTATTTTAAATTAATTGATCGAATAATTCAATTATTTTCGCAAATAAAGTTTTCCTCAAGAATTCAATTATTTAAAATAAAATTTTCATAATATTTATTATATTTCCAAAACATTAATTATTGAAAATAATGTTTATAAAATTCTTATGAAGAATTCAATTATTTTCAAAAATAACAAAATCTTTCACAGAAATTCAATTCTTTTTAAAAATTTTAATAAAATTTTTCGCAATAATTCAATTATTTTCCTAAATAATAAAATTATTCTCAGAAATTCAATTATTTTTGAAAATTTTAATGAAATTCTCTGTAACTTTTCAATTATTTTCATAAATAATAAAATTCATGGAAGAATTTCAATTATTTCTAATACTATTTTAAATCAATTAATCGAAAAATTCAATTATTTTCACAAATAAAGTTTTCTACAAGAATTCAGTTATTTAAAATAAAATTTTCATAATATTTATTATATTTAGAAAAAATCAATTATTTAAAACAATGTTTATAAAATTCTTATAAAAAATTCAATTATTTTCAAAAATGAAAAAAATTTAATTTCAATTCCTCGAAAAAAATCAATTATTTAAAAAAAATGTTTTTTTTTAAATTCTTTGGAAAAACTCAATTATTTACAAAAATATCGAAAATATTCCCGAAAATTCAATTATCTTGAGGCATTTTAATAAAATTCTTTGCAAAATTCAATTTTTAAAAGTAATACATTTTTTCTTAGAAATTCAATTATTTTAAAAAATTCTAATAAAATCGTTCGCAAGAATTCAATTATTTTCATTAATAATAAAATTATTCTCAGGAATTCAATTATTTTGAAATATTTAAATTAGTATTCTTTTAGATTTTAATAAAATTCTTCCCAAGAATTCAATTATTTACGTAAATAATTCTTCGAAAGAATTCAATTATTTTAGGACATTTTTAGAAAATTTGCTAAATTCAATTATTTTCATAAATAACAATACTCATCGTAAGAATAAAATTATTTTTAAAAGTAATAAATTTCATTAAAGAAATTCAAATGATTTGAAAAATTCTAATAAAATTGTTCGCGAGAATTCAATTATTTTCATAAATAATAAAATGCTTTTTAGGAATTCAATTATTGAAATTAAAATTTGCATAAAATTAGTCGAAAGAAATCAATTATTTAAAAATGTTTATAAAATTCTTCGCAAGAAGTAAATTATTTTTATAAATATTTAAATTCTTTCACGAATAATAAAATTCGTTGCAGGAATTCAATTTATTAGTAGAATAAGAAAGAAGTAAATTTTTTTGATGAAAATTAGGAAAAGGCAGGAAAATAAAATATACAATGGAATTTTTGCCAGTTTTGTGAAGTTTTTAAAACGAGTTTTTTTGGTCGTTAAATTTAATTTTTCGATAGCTACTTTTTTACTACTTTTTTTTAGTTTGAAAGCTACTTTTTACTACCATTTTAAAATTAATTATCTAGTACGAAGTCTGAAAGAATATTTTTTATTTAAAGAAACATTTTTGATTAGAATATTTTTTATTTAATTTTTTATACAAAGAATATTTTTTTTATTTAAAAAAACATTTTTGATTAGAATATTTTTTATTTAAAGAAACATTTTTTATTATAATATTTTTATTCAAAGAAACAATTTTGTTTACCATATTTTTTTATTCAGAGAAATATTCTTTTTAAAGAAGAAAAATACTTTTCTGTCAGAATTATCGTTTGATGTGAATTTTTATAGTTAATAAAAAAAATAATGTTGTACTATTTATTTTTTCTTTTTTTGAAAATGATAGAAAATATTTTGACAATGCTTATTTATTTTTTCTTTCTCTTTGAAAATAGGGGTTCCAGCTTCAAAGAAGATGAAGGCACGTGGAAGGGAAATGACGATGGAAAAGTGGTAAACAATCAACCGCAACGAGTGATGGATGAACGTAATGGTGTTGGCCCACAAAGTGGCTATATTGCAAAAATTACTGGAGATGTTCGTGAAACAGAAATGGAGGACAATATGGGTCAGGTGAATACGATGATTGGCAACTTGAGAAATATGGCCATCGATATGGGAAGCGAATTGGAAAACCAAAATCATCAAATCGACAGGATCAATCGCAAGGTGAATTTTTATTCCCCACTGAATAAATTTTATACAGGAAAAGAAGAAAAAAAAGAGAGAATATCATTTTTTTTATTTTTTCTTTCATTTCTTTCAATAATAAATTTTTTATTTTATTTATATTTTTATTATTGTCACCATTTTTCTTTCTGTTTGTTTTTATTTATTTATTTTTATTCGTACAGTCGAAAAATAGTTATTCAATAGTCTTTTCTATTCGCAAAAGATTTATATCTCAATTTTCTCAATTGCTTGTTTACTTAATTCATTTTTTATCCAAGAATTCCTGTTACACGTTTTTTTTTTAATAATCTAGAAAGAAATTTTTCAATTGCACACACAGTTCATAAACATTCGCTGTAAATAATATTCGATCATTCAGAATCTAATTTGTATATTGCTTAAATTTACATAATTGTTCCAGTTTTGAAACGTAGATAAAAGAAAAAAGAAAATTAAATGTAAATATTTTCCCGTTTTGTTAGCGCAAGGAATCTTGGAATTCTAAATTAGAATGCCGAGTTTCGATAATTATAAATATAGTCTAATTTGCATTTTTATTTCCCGCTTAACAAGAATAATTTTTTTATTTTTATTGTTGAATTTTGCAAATTCAAACTTTCACTTTGTTGAGATTTTTTTTTTTCGCGCTTTGTAAAATATTAATTATTTGGTAATATTTAAAATATTTTTTATTTCGTTCTAAGAGTTATGGGTTGTTTTATTTATTTATTTATACAACTAGCAATAATTCGCGCGCTAAAGCGCGCGGCTAACTTTTTACTTCATTTTTTTAAATAAAATTATCAATTTTAAAAATAATAGAATTTAAAAATTTTAAATTCAAATTTTTGTTAAAAACACTAAACTAATTCAATTTTGGAGAAATTGCAAATAATTTATTGCAGAAATTCAATTATTTTCAAAAGTAATAAAATTCTTCTCATAAAATTCAATTATATGTTTAAAATTAAAAAAAAATTCTCGCCAAAATCCCAATTATCTTTGTAAATAACAAAATTTTCCCCCAAAGTTTAATTATTTTCAAAAATGACAATAAAATTCTTGCCCTAATTTCAATTATTTTCAATAAAATTTTCCGAGAAAAATTCAATTATTTAAAAAAAATTTAATAAAATCGTACACAAACATTTAATTATTGTCAAAAATATTAAAAATTCCACAGGAATTCAATTATTTACAATTTTTTTTATAAATTTCTTCGCAATAAATCAATTATTTTCATAAATTTTTAATTATTATAAATTATTATAAAACATAAAGAAATCGATCACTCCGAGTCTTCGACTCGGAGCAATCAATATCTTCATGTTTTATAGCAAAATATTTTTATAAGTTGTTTAATTTCAAAAAGGTTTGAATTTGGAATTTTGGAATGTCTTAATTCCTGTGGAAAAATAATAATAATTAAATATTTATTTAAATATTTAGTTAAAGAAGTTATTGATGTTTTCGAATAATTTTACAATTAAAGAAATTCGTAAAAATGTAACGGAACATTTTTTTTTTTTGAGTAAAATTTTTTCCTTTATTTTCTAAAAATTCAAAAATTTTCATTTTCAATAAAATCGACATTTGAAAGAATTTTAATTCAATAATTGAAAACAATTGAATTTTACAAACAATTTTACATGAAATCGATTTTTTTAAAGAATTTTAATTTAATAAATTAAAAAGAAATTGAATTTTTTAAATAATTTTCCAAAACATTGAGTTTTGAAAGAATTTTAATTTCATAATTGAAAAATAATTGAATTTAATGAATAATTTTCTTAAAAAATCGATTTTTTGAAGAATTTTAATTTAATAGTTGAGAAATAATTGAAATTTTCCAAAATTAATTTTAAAAAGGTTTGAATTTGGAATTTTTGAATGTCTTAATTCCTGTGGAAAAATAATAATAATTAAATATTTATTTAAAAAAGAAATTATTGATGTTTTTGAATAATTTTATGAATTAAAGAAATTCGTAAAAATGTAACGGAACATTTTTTTTTTGAGTAAAATTTTTTCCTTTATTTTCTAAAAATTCAAAAATTTTCATTTTCAATGAAAATTTGTAATTGACAAATAGAATTTATAAACATTTGTTTCGTTTATTTAAAAAAAACTGGATTTTATTAAAACTATTGTAATTAAAAAATTGAAATAATGTAAATAATTATTCCCTTATGAAAATTGAAAATTTTCTACAAAAATATTAAGAAACGGGAATATGTAATGTTTTTTTTTCCCAATATAAAAGAATGAGTTTGTGAACAATATTGTTATTGAGAAATAAAAATTATGCATAAAATGGGTATTTATTTACTATTTCTTAATCATAATTTTTTAACAAATTTTCTATTTTTTATAAATAAACAAGAGAAAAATTTAGAAATTTGTTATAAAAAAGAAATTTGTTATAAAAAAAGCATATAATAAACAAAATGGGTAAATTTTTTATTTGTTAATTATAATTTTTTTTAAATTTTCTAAATTCTAATATTATTTTATTATATGAATCATGAAAAAATACCTGCATATTTTCAATTTGTCAAAACAAATTTTTCTAAAGAAAAAAAACAAAAGAATACACAAAAACTAACTTCAGATGTGGACAGAATGAAAGAATGAATAAGACGATTATTATAGTTAATAGATTTTGTATTTGAAAAAAAAATATTTGAAAAAAGAAAAGTGAATTTATTTATTAATTTGCACTCGATTTTTTTCAGGGCGAGTCGAACGAGACGAGGATACAAGTGGCGAACGAGCGAGCCCATCAGCTGCTCAAATAAGAAAACAACTTCCATGGAAAAATAATAATTTTTTCGAAAATTCTATTTCGAGTTGCTACAAATACTTATACATCCCCATTTATTTACATTATTGTCCCTTATACTTATTATCGTCTCAGTGTCTACCTGTTCACTTACGTGCTATTTGCATATATTTACTTAATATTTATCTCTAACATTATTATTTGCCGGCGCATCGTCTCTCAAACGAAAATAAATTAATAAATCTTACAACAGCTTCTTAATAAACCGCTGAAAATTAAATAACAAAAATAATTCCTTTTCTCTCTTGCATAGATGAAAGAAATAAAATATTATAATCACACGAAAAAAAGGAATTCGAAATAAAAATTTGGGAAAATGCGCTCGCAAATAAAAAAAAAGACCTTTGAAGAACTGTTTAAATAAGGCCAAGGGATTTTCTTTTTTATTTTTCTCACTCATGCGCTGGTCGCACGAATCTTTTTATCAATAAAATAAAAGGGCCTATTTCATCGTTTTATATTTAAACAGTCCTCCCGAATCGTCAAGTATATTTAAAAAGAAAAAAATCTAGATTTTCCGATCGTTCCGAGTCCATTAAAAAAAAACTTCACTTTTATCTCTAAAAAATAAAAAAAAATATTCAGCAATTCTCCGTTATTTCCTTAAAAGATGTACGTAAATTTTTTGGAGAAATGTGAATTTTTTCGGAAACAAAACAAAAAAAAAACTCTATTTTTCTAGGAAACTTTTTTTCCAAATACTGTAAAAAAGAAAAGAAAAGTGAAGTTTCGACGAAAGATATTGTGAACAGGATTCGGAATGTATTGTTTGATGGTAAATTTGAATAATTCAATCCCATTTTTTTAGAATCTTTTTTTTTGAAATTTTTCAAAACTTTGTAGGTTCGAGAAGGTCTTATCAAAATATTTTAGATCTCGTTAATTAAAGACCATTGTCGGTGAACAACGATTATTAAAGTACGCATAGCGTCCAGCGATCGTCACTGATTCAAATTTGCAATTTTCTTCAATTTATCGAAAAACAATCCAAAAGGAAATATTCGAAATATTCCGAAATATTCTAATTTACTGAAAATAGAAAATTAAAAAATTAATTTTGAAATAAATTTCGAAACTTAAATTTAATAAAAATTTTTTTCTAATTTAATAAAAATAGAGGAAAAATTGTTTACAAGTAAAAGTTTAATGAATTCAAAAAAAGGTAGAAACAGTGACGTCGCTTTTTACTCTTTCCATTTTTCATCTTGAGAATTTTTCGACCCCGGAGCGATTCGTCAAGCGAATACGGGGGGCGCTTTTTATGGCGAATTTGATAGGCTTGTTAACAAAAAAAGAAAAAAAAAAGAATAAAAAATAAAAAAAAAATAGAGGAACGCGTGTAGGATTTTAGAATTTTGCCTGCGATTCCTATGAAGAATATTTACACCGAATTGTGCTGGGATTTCCCGTTCGTTATAAAAAAAAAATAATGGGAGGAAAAAGGAATTTTTATTGTGTTTTACAGCAGCGAAAATTAGCGAACAAAAAGAAAATTGTAAGAAAGAAATTAAACGTATTTTTACTTATTTTGCGAAAAACAAGAAGTAAAAACTAACTTGTCTTTAATTTTAAAATTTACGTTTAGTTACTTTTTATCGCCAATTATTTCTTGTAGATATCTCTTCTACGAATTGTAGAGCAAGAGTGACGAATTGTAAAAAGTCAAAACGAGAATGGAGTGACAATTTGATGAGAGTTTTTAAACAAAAGGGTGAAATTTTTCTTATCTATCGACTTTTTGGAAATTTTTCTGATTTTGTGATTTTTATTCTTTTTTTGTTTTATTCAAATTTTATTCTTACTTGTGTTTTTAATTTTACTCGTCTTTATTCTAATCTTACTTGTGTTTATTTTAATCTTACTTGTGTTTATATTAATTTTACTCTTGTTTATTTTAATTTCACTCGTTTTTATTTTAGTTTTACTGGTTTTTATTTTAATTGAAAAAAAATTTTTTTCGAGAACAAAAAAAAAGTCGATGACAAAAAAAATTGCCCGGAAGTTAAACTCGACTCATTGTAGCGTAGGTATATAACTCGCGCGCTTGTGAGCTCGCACTTGATGCGAAGCCCTCAGGTCACAGTAAGGTTTAACTCCAAGAAAGATAAAAAAAAACTTGTATATTACTGTATTTACATAAAGCTTGTACATGTACTGTAGACAAACATAGAAACGATAGTGAGATTTGGCTCTGCGACAAGGGGATGGGGGTGAAAGGCGTCAATCTCGTATTTAAAAAAAAAGAGAAAAAAAAGCTATTGGCACTGCACTTCTAGACATTTCACAAAAAAAAAAAAAAAATTCAAAAATCGAAAGCACCGAAGCTATTTTCAAAGCTAATTTTACTTTTTTCACTTCATCAATTTCTGTCTTTTTTCGCAAAGCTCGTTGCAAAATTCTCCACTAAAACTATTGACAACAGTCTATTTTTTTCGAGAAAAAAATTTTGTTTTTAAATATATGTAAATTTAAAAACGAAATTTTATTTTTTCTAGTTTCTTAACTTAGTTTAAAAACGTTTAAAACAAAAATATTTAAAATGAACGTTTAAATTATTTAAGAAATATTTTTAATTATTTATTAAATTTACGTAATTTATTTATTTATTTATTACGTAATTTATGAAATAATTTATGAAATAATTTATGGAATAATTTATGAAAAAATTTATTAAACAATAATTTATCCACTTAATTAATTTCTTTACTACTTAATTTATTTTTCTACCAACTTAATATTGTATTTTACTACTTAATTACCTTGTACACCACTTAATTATATTTACAAAAATTATTTACGAAAAAATACTAGTAAGTAAATAAAATAGTAATAAAGAATTTAATTAAATTTAATTAATTAACAAATTATTAATTAATTATTTAATTAATAATTAATAATTAATAATTAGTCATTAAGAAATTTGGAATTCCGAAGATAAAATCGACTGTATTCAATAGTTTTCCCGCAGTGGTGAATTTGCAAAAGTGCCAATAGATTTTTGGAAAAATTCTATTCTTGAAAACAAAAAAAAAAAAACTTTTTTCCTATTGGATGCAACAAAGTTTTTTGACAAAAGTCATTTTCATTTTTTTGTCATTTACTCAGGGCGTAGTGAAGAAAAAAAAATGCGCGATGCTCATCGCTAGGACTACTTAGAAAAAAAAACGAAATTCTAAAGTGATTCTTGTTTTAATTATAGACAATTCAATAATATAAATATTATTAATAAAAGATATATTGCTTAGTTGAGAAAATTTTAGATTGATCGAGAAAAAAAAATGGGAACAAGTTCTGCTTAGTAAAAAAAAAATGTTTGTAAAAAAAAAAAATTTGAACAAATTTGAAAATTTATTTTCAATTCATCTAGTTTTTAAGTGTTAAGATTAAAAAAAAAATCTTTTTAAACTCTATATAATATATGCTTATTAATCTAGTTATTATTCTAGTAAAGAAAAAAAAAATTGTTATCTTATCTTGTGGATGATGAGCATCGCAAACGAGATTGATGAAAAATTTTCTTTTTTCCAAAAAATGACCAATATGTATATTTATTATTTCCTTTTTCGTCGAATCGAATAAAAAATCTATGTAAAAAATAAAAAAAAAAATCCTCCTTTATAAGATGAAAACGATGTTTTCGATTCATAAGGAAATTTTCGATTCGTCTTTATAAATTAGACTTGAGCTCATCGTGATGGGAACAGAAATAAAAAAATTTAGTGTTTGCGAGTCGAGCGACATTTTACGAGTTGAAATTTTCCATTTTCTCGAAAACACGTGAAAAAAAAAAATACTGTAGCTTTTCTCATTATACATTTCAAAACAAAAAGGGGAATTTTTTTCCATTTTCAAATTCTTCAATTTTTTGTTAATATAGTAAAGAGAGAAAGAGAGAAAGTTAATCTTCGTTGGCGAATGGCTATTTAGTCCACGAGTCTTGATTAATTAAATTATATTAATTATTAAGCTAATTAACAAGGTGGATCCATTGACAAATTCAAATATTGAATCGTTTAAAAAAAATTTCCATTTCAATGTAAATTAATTAATTAAATAATAATTTAATTTATTTATACAAATTTAAATTTATTTTTTAGGAACTTTTCGAAATTTGTAAATTTTAATTTACAAAAACAATTGTATTTAGTATTTAAGGAAATAAATGAATGTCGGAAAGAAATAATGAAAATTCATCGAGATTATGATTATTTAAGCGACAATTAATTTGTTAATTTTAATTGTAAAATAAACTATTTTAATTAACAATTATTATTTAATTAACAGAGCAGTTAATTTGTTCCTCTACTAAAAAAAAAGAAACTTGACAATCAGTAGGGGAATAAATTAAAGAAAATATTCAAGTTTTAATTGTTGTTTAAGTAATTATAATTATTTAAAATTAAAAAATATTGTAAATGAAATCCGAATATTAACTAAATATTTTCAAATATTTTCAAATAGGTAAAATATTTAATAGCAAAAGAAATTTTATGTTTAAAATTTATTTAATTTTAATCTATTAAATCGATAGTAAAATTAAAAAATACTATAAAAAAAGAGGAGAAATTAAATTGAATTAAATTTAAAAATTCGTTTTGAAATTGTCAATGGATTTTATTATTAGCCTTGAGATGAGAAAAACCTACTACTTCTGCGTTAACTATAGCCTAAAGTATTTTTCAGTAACTTTTTTGCAAATATCAATTTTAAATTATTATAATTATTAATTATTAATTATTAATTATAAATAAATTAAAAATTATAATTATTATTACAATTTATTGAAGAGCGTGTCTTTTATTGGCGAAAAAAAAGTACCAGTTTTAGCGCGAATCGAGCAGGTATTTTCGATCGTGCACCAGAAGAAAAGAAAAAAAAAAGTATAAATAAAAAACAAAAAAACCTAGTAGAATTGCACTGCGTTTGTAGACACGATGTACTTTAATTATTGCATTAAAAAACAATTATATATTGAAAAAATAATCTCAGTACTAAAAAAAAAAAAAATATTAAAAAAAAAAAAATATGATAAGACTCTGGTCAAAGCTGAAGCTAATAAGATTTTAATAGAAATGTAAATCAAGATGGGCAAAAGTCAAGTAAATTTCTATTATTTGCTGTAAACTTCCTCGTGAAAGAATTATTCAAAAAAAAAAAAAAAAAAAATTTTTTTTTTTTAATGACTCTTTCAATAAATTTTTTGCGTTCATCTTCTTGGATCTTTAGCTGCAAATTTGTGAGCGAGTTTTATGTGTGTGAAAGAAAAGAAAAAACGAGTGAGAATGAAAGAAAAAAAAGCTTTTATCTATTTTATCACTGAAGCATAATATTTAACGCACATTTTCGAGTCACGATTAATTCGTAAATGAAAAAAAAAAAAAAATTAAAAAAAGCGTTTATTTGTATGTTTAATAAGGCGCAGATAAAGAAATAAGAAGAGGAAATTTTTTTGAGGAAGTTCACAAATCGATGATGATGATAAATGACGCGACAATTCAGTTCGCTGAATTAATTTACGAGAAGGAATATCGGGTTTCCTGAAATTCTGTTATAGCGTCTCTAAATGTATATTACAAACGCGATCTTATAAATATAAATATATAAATATTCAAATATGTGTATAAATATATATAAAAGTTTATATAAATATACATAATTTATTTATTTATATATTTATATTCTGTTAATTGTACATTAAAATAAAATTAAGTTATCCTAGACATTGATGTTTTCAAATGACTTGAAATTTTACCGCCTTTATACCACGTGACTCGCACGCATGCGCTGAAGAAAATTTTCAATCACGTGACTGACAATTTCCGCACTTTTTCATTTTTTATTGTGGCAAAAATTCTCCTTTTGTTGAAAAAAATAGAGTTGAAAGTTTCTTTTCACCCTTTTTTTTATCTCATAATAGAAAAAATTATAAATAAGATAATATCGATAATAATATTGCAGGAAAATTGATATTTATTTTTTTTGTCAAGTTGGCCAACCTTTTGGAGGGAAGATCTCAGTTTCGCGCTTCAGTTGCTAGCGTTGCTAGTAGTGAACATATCGTTGTCGGGTATTTTAATCTGAAACTTATTCTAAAATCGTAAAATATTTAAAATATATTCATAAATCGTTGATTTTTAAGCGAACTATTGTAAAGTGTGATTAAATTTGTCCACGTGTTGTGAGAATTACGAAAAAATAATGTTCATAGTGAAAGTGCTCCATGTTTCACGGTACTTTGCGAAATTATCAAAATTGTGATTAATATTTCACGTGTTTTTCAATATTTCAAATGAAAGCAGTATTTATTTGTTGATTAGTGATAAACATTCGTTACTTTTTGAATAATGTGCAATATTCCAAAGGATTATTGGTTGTCTTGGTTGTTAATATTAAATTCAAATTTTGAGGTTATGTTCGAAAGTTTAAATCGTTTAAATTTCGCTTTACGAAGTTGGCTAACGTGTTTTTCTTGCATACAAATATTTTTCGGAGCAAAACGAGAAAAATGGTTTTCGAATATTAAAATTTATACCTATTTATATTCGATAACAGAATCTTTCAAGTGGTGCAAAAATTTTGTATGAAAAAGTGAATTTTGTGTTTCGAATAATTGACGTTTTCACAAATATATATCAGAGATTCTCGAGTACAACAGAAGACGTATTTTCCTCTTCGGATTAAAAGTAAGAATTTGCTAAATTTAATTTCAAAAACTATTATACTAAAAACTATTAATTATTAAATTTAATTAAAAATAATAAATTATATCTTAGAGTCAAGTGATTTTTAAAAGAAAATTAAAAGTAACGATAACTATTTCAAAAAATTTTTATAAAAAACGAAACAAATTGATTACAAATTGATAAGAAATATTTACCTGCTTTTTTTCAGATGTAAGTGATTTCAAAAACTATACATATTTCAAAAACAATCGGAAATTAAAAGGTATGTCACAAAATATTATTATACACAGAAAAAAAAATATGTGTGAGAATAAAAATACACAATTGGTACACAACTTTGTATTTTTGAATACAAAATATATCTATACATATTAATATTATTAATTAATATAATATAATTTGACATAATATAAAATATAACACGCGCGGCAGTTTACTAATTTTAATAAATCTTTAAACAAAATGCTCTCTTATTTAAAAATAATTTTTTGTTCCCCTCAAAAAAAAAATGCTTTTTATAAAAACATTTTTCAAGTCCGAAGAATTAAAAAATTTTTATCACAACTCTTTCTAATGGTAAAAAAAAATGACTTTTTCATTTACCATATTTAGAAAAACTTTGAGAAAATATTTTTCACATCAATTTATATGATAATAATTTTCAAAAAAATGATAATGCTCTACGCGTAGAATTCAAATTATATTTGGAAATATATTTTTAATATATTTATATTATATATTTATACATATATAACTCTTCTTAGAAATTATCTTAGAAATTAATTTAAAAAAATGATTAAAAACAAAATTTTAAAATGTGCGAAATTAAAAAAAAATTGTCTTTATAAACATTAATTTGTATTATAAATTTTGAAAATTAAATTCCAAATTCTAAATATTGGAAAAATAAATCTTAATGAAAAATTTTAAATAAAACTTCCCCCGAATAACAGAAAAAAAACCCCATAAAAAATCGATTATTAAAAATGCCTTTTTTTTAAAGGAAATTTCGAAATTAGAATAGAAATAACGTAGTAAAATTTACAGTGGCACGGTAAATAAAATTATTTCTTAATTGTCCTAAAAGGAAATTAATTTTTAGAGCTAATTTACAAATTTCCTCGTTTTCTTCGTCACAAACAATTATTCCTGCATCATTGAAATTTATTCGACGTTCGTCAAAAAAAATTGTTTTTCTGCTTCTAAGAAAAAAGCATTTTTACTTCTTCAAATAGTTAGTAAAGCACGACAAAGCGTTTGAATAATTATTAATTATAATTTTCTTCTCTAATTTACTCTTCTTTTTCTTCTATTTTTTTCTCTGCTTTTTCTGTTTCTATTTTTTTTTTATAATTTAGACGAGATTCTGGTCCAATGATAATATATCAGATTCTTGTAGATATTTTGGAATTTCAAATGGCAGGATATCATAATTAGTTGTCATTATTGTTGTTGGCCAGTCTCTATTAATTCGATTTGAATTCTCATTTTTCGAATTAATTAAATTTGTTGTATTTATCGATGATAACCATTGCGGCGAAATTTTTCCTCCTTTCTGATTGAATCTTGTTATCTTATTTTTTCTCAATAGTTCTGGATTTATTAATTCGTAATTTTGAATCGGAATATCCTAAAAAGAAAATTAGATAAAATTAGTTTTTTTCTATATTTGAATTGAAATATAGAAAAAAAATGCGAAAAGTTGTTAGTATTTTCCATTAGTTCGGTAATTAGTAATTGAAAATAAATTAATAATTGTGTAAAAACAATTTTTTTTTTTTGTTAAAAAAACTGATATTAAAACATTCAGGCACTAAAATACAATAAATTTAACAAAAAAAAACAATTTGTCAATTTTTCGCATTTTGTGGTTGTGACAAAATAATAGAAAAAAAAGAAAAGAAACCTTCCAAGGCGAACGAGCAACACGCATATAAAAAACATTATTTTTTTTCTACTTAAAATTGAAATTACTTAACCTAGGTAGTGTGATGGTTGAGAAATTTCCAATCGCACTGCTGCATTTCTCGAGGAAAACGAATAAAAAGCAAGGAGAAGGAAACGAATTTTCAAATTAAAAATTGAATTAATTTAAACTAGATTTTTAACTCTCTCTCTCTCTTTTCTTCTCTCGTGCCTCTCATTTTCCCCGCAAATTATTTTCTTCATCACTCATCCTGCTGAAGCCAAGTTTCGTTGATTGAAAACGCAACAAAAATTAAATAAATAATAAATTTCTTTCTTTTTCAAAATACGACCTGAAATTAGAAAAAAATTTCCTACATAGTAAATATTTCTAAACTACAAATAATATAAATGAAGATATTTTACTATTTTCGAAGGATCTCGGGAAAATGGCTTTTACAAAAAAAAAAGGAATTGAAACGCAGCAGACTTTGGTTTTTATATCGGTGATCATTTTTTTTTTCAGTATATATTTCAATAACGATTGATCAACAATAATGATAAATATTTATACATCATTTTTAGAGAGCTGAACGGTAATTATTTTTGTCTTTTGAATAAAATTCGACATGAAAAAATTCTGGTCAAATTAAAAAAAACAATTTTGAAAAATTTTATGTCGAATTTATAACTCTACCGAACTGCGCACTTTTTTTCCTTTTTGGCAGTGCTTTTTAAGTTCTCGACTTTTCGTTGTTTTATCTCCTTCACCGAGAAGACTTTTTTTATCTAAAAGAAAAAATTTTTTCCCCTTCGGACGTTATAAATATTAAATAATTATTGAATTCTACAAGAATTTCGATAAAATTGGCAGTGTGCGATCGATTTTTATTTTGCACAAAAAAAATATGTGTTTTTCAAATTGTTCATTTCTCTACAATTGAAAAAATATTTTTCAATAGAAAATTTGGGTTCATTTCTTTGTAATAATTAAATTCAGAAGCCTCTCTTTTTTGCATTACAAAAAATATATGGTTTCTGAAGTATGAAAAATGTTGATATTTTTTTTTTCTTTATTTTATACTAAAAATTCTTTCCTTTTAGTAAAAGAAGGAAAAAAAAATTTTTTTTTTCCCGATCACACCGAGGAAAAAACACAATAACTATTCTAAACAAATATTTTACAATTCTTTGTAATTTTGCATACGTAGTTTTAAAATTTTCTATAAAACAGAAACAAAATTCGTCGCAAATTATTATTTATAAATATAAATTTCTGAAAAATTTAATTCAGAAATAAAATTTTTCTATTTATCGAATCTCATTTTGATTTAGGCGTCTAGACGAAAAAAAAATATATCCGAACTAAATACTAATCTTCAAGATTTAAAAAAATGCTATTTACAAAAAAAAAAATGTTGTGATTTTTTCAAAAAATCTTTCTATTAAAATTCTTCAAGAATTTAATTTTCAGTTTTAAAATTTCACTAGCAGTTGCTAACAAAAGAAAAATAGTTTTTTTTCACATTTTTCTTGATAGAAAAAAAATTGTAAGAGAAAAAAAATTCTTTTCTTTTTTTTTATCGAATCACTTGCTCGTGATGCCTTTGGAAGGTTTCGGCTTCGTTAGGCAAACATATCCGGCACTCACGTCGCAACCGGAAACAAGAAGGTTCATGAGAACGCTGTTCGATTGTTGTGACGTGATTGATTTCGATGCAGTGCCTTGTCGTGATTTTACAAGGTCACCGCAACCACCGCCATCATCATCGTCATCGTAATCAATATCATTATAATTTATCCCCCCATCTCCACCTCCTCCTCCTTCGCCTAAGTCATCATCATCATCAACAATAACAACACCACCACCACCACCATCACCACCACTAACACCACCACCTACGCTTGTATTATTATCATCCTTTGCCAGTCGTTCTCTCATTTCCAATTGATTTTGCCAATTTTTCGGCATATCCGCCGTTACCAAGCGATGTAAAAGTTGACTTCCTTCCTGCATACCCGAAATAACATTCTGATTTGTTAATTGAAAATTTTCTGCTCTCTCGCATTTGATGCGTTTATATTCGTTCTCGGACTTTGTAGAATAGCCGTGAACTCGTTTATTTGACCTTTCGCTGCAGAGTCGATGCGACTCGAGTTCTTTGCCTAGGAAAAAGTAGAATTCGCAAAATAAATTAGAGGGAAATTTTTAGGCTTTGGCTTTTCTTTCCTCAGGATTTTCTTTTTTTTCAAAAAAAAAAAAAATTGAATGTGTTACTATTTTGAAATCCGACTAAATTAGCCGAGTAGCCTTGATGCAATTAATTACTCTAGTATTTATAGAATCGTTAAAATAAAATAATCCTTACTTAGAAAATACTAAAAGAATATAATAAATACCAAAAAAATAACAATTAAAATACAAATAATAATTTTAATTAAAAATTTAAATTTTCAACAGTAAATTCTTCAATAATATTTTCAACAAAAAAATTCTTCAATTCGAAAAACTACTATTTTAAAAATCCGTAAAGTAAAAAAATTTAAATTAAACTTTTTCTGTAAAAAAAAAAGAATTTTCCAGTTATTCTATTTTTGACCAATCTTTTTGCAAGTTCTAAACTGGTTTCATTTATTTATTTATATTTATTTAAACACCTGATTTATTTATTTTGTTGAGTTTTTAAAAAGTTTCTTAAATTTATTTTATTTATTTATATTATTTACCTACTAATTTATTAATTTATTGAATATTGAAATAAAGTTTAATTATTTTATGAAAATAAAATAGATTTTAAATGTAAAGCCTTAAAATTTCAGAAAATATGGATTTAAGATTTGAATAGCATTTTTAGAATTAATAAATTATAGAGTGAATAGTTTTTTTTTTAATAGAAAAAAAAGTATTGAAAACTCACCTTTGACTCGAATTTGACCGAGAACATGTGCTGGATTAACCATGTCACCGCCATGATCTTTGAATTTTCTTACACTCGATTCATTTCTTAATAATTGTGCAAGACTTGAATTCTTCTTTTCTTCTATTAAATTATTATTCCTGAAACAGTTAAATATTTTTTGTAAATTTTACTGGAATGAAAAATTCATTTCGTTTTTAGGAAGTAAAGTAAATCAAAACTCAATGTAATGATTTTCATTATAATGTTTTGAACGTTCAAATGAACAAAATATTTTTTCTGCTCCAATATTTTTTTAAATTATTACAAAAGGGTTTCTTTTAAATCCGTGTAAGATTGAAATAAATAAATAAATAAAATTATGAACAACTAAATAAAAATACTAAATAATAAAAATGACTGAAATTGAACATTTATTTAGTTAAAAATTAATTTTTTATTATGAAAAATAATATTTTGTAAATAAAATTGAAATTCTTATTTTGCAAATAAAAAAAAATTAAAGAATTAATAAAAAATATCATCGTTTATATGAACGTTCGAAATTTTAGGGACATTATTATTAAAATAATTAATTAGAAATTAATTTCTAACAAAAAGAAATTTCTTCAATTGTAATTAAAAAATAGGATACCTATTATTGAAATTTTTGCTTAAATTGTAATTATAATTATAATTATTTGCTAAAAGACTAAAAAAATTTTTAGCACAAAAATTTATATTATTATTAAAGTAACAGTAGTTTGAAAATAATTTAATTCTTTCGAAGAATGTTATTTTATTTATGAAAATAATTATGAATTCTTGCGAGAGAATTTTATTAAAATTTTTGAAAATTCTAATTAAATTCATTTGAAGAATTTCTTTTGATTTTTTTTTTTTTTTGAAATAATAGAGATTCCTTAATAATTTTAATTGATAATTGAAATTTAATAATAGATTTAAACAATGAATTTTTTTTAAAGAGAAACTAACAATTCAAAATAATCGTGTTTGTCAATAATTATAATTAAAAATTTGATTATTGAGAATTTTATTAAAACTGTATTGAAAATAATTGAATGCTTGCAAAGAATTTAAAAATTTTTGAAAATTCAAATTAAATATTCTTTTAAAGAATTTTTTTTGAATTTTTTTGAAATAATGGAGATTTTCTAATATTTTTAATTGATAATTAAATTCTTTTCAGACTTTTTATTACAATTTTTTGAAACAAATTTAATGAATTCCAGAAATTTCATGTTTTTTGAATGTTTTTAAAATAATTGAATTCTTTTAACACAAACTAACATTTTAAAATAATCTTATTTGTCAATAATTGTAATTAGAAGTTTGATTATTAAAGAATTTTTTAAATATTGTATTGAAAATACTTTACTTTCTGAGAAGAATTTTATTATTTATAAAAATAATTCAATTTTGCGAAGAATTTTAGCTATTTACAAAAATAATTGAATTGTTTCCAAGGATTTATTAAAATTTCAGAAAATTCCTAATTGAATTCTTTCGAAAAATTGTATTAAAGATTAGAAAAAATAATTGAATCTTCTCGTGAAATTTTATTAGAATTGTATTGAAAATAATTGATGTCCTGCAAAGAATTTTACTATTTATAAAAATAATTGATTTTTTGTGAAGAATTTTACTTATTTAGAAAAATAATTGAATTATTTCGAAGGATTTATTAAAATTTTAGAAAATAATAATTGAATTCTTTCAAAAAATTGTATTAAAAATTAAAGAGAAAATTGAATCCTTATTCGTGAAATTTAATTAAAATTGTATTGAAAATAATTGAATTTCTGAGAAGAATTTTACTATTTACAAAAGTAATTGAATTGTTTCGGAGGATTTATTAAAATTTTAGAATGTTAATTGAATTCTTTCGAAAAATTAAATTAAAAATTTTAAAAAAATAATTGAATATTCTCGTGAAATTTTATTAGAATTGTATTGAAAATAATTGATGTCCTGCAAAGAATTTTACTATTTATAAAAATAATTGATTTTTTGTGAAGAATTTTACTATTTAGAAAAATAATTGAATTATTTCGAAGGATTTATTAAAATTTTAGAAAATTAATTGAATTCTTTTGAAAGATTGTATTAAAAATTAAAAAAAAAATTGAATCCTCTTATTCGAAAAATTTCATTAAAATTGTATTGAAAATACTTTAATTTCTGAGAAGAATTTTATTATTTATAAAAATAATTCAATTTTGCGAAGAATTTTAGCTATTTACAAAAGTAATTAAATTGTTTTGAAGGATTTATTAAAAGTTTAGAAAATAATTGAATTCTTTCGAAAAATCTTATTCAAAATATTATTATATATTTTAAAAAAATAATTGAATCTTCTCGTGAAATTTTATTAGAATTGGATTGAAAATAATTGAAGTCTTGCAAAGAATTTTCCTATTTACAAAAATAATTGAATTGTTAGGAAGAATTTTATCAAAACTTTAGAAAATAATTTAATTCTTTTGAAAAATTGTATTCAAAATTAAAAAAAAATAATTGAATCTTCTCGTGAAATTTTATTAGAATTGTATTGAAAATAATTGAAGTCTTTTATTTGAAGGTTCGAAATTTTCGAATCATTATTATTATTCTTCTTTTCATTTTTAGTTTACTAGGTATTATTATTATTTTCCTTTTATTATTATTTTTATGTTTGATTTCTCAGAATAGAAAACCAAGTTTTGTAATTGAATTAAAATCGAAGAAAGCAATAGAAATAAATAGGAAATAATGACGAATTCTCACCATTTGGACTTTTTGTCGTTTATTTGTGTTGGGCCCCACATGACCATGTCATTATTAATAAGTAATTCTAGTGCTTCGTCCTGATCGGACATAGGAATATAGGGTGCTCTTAGCGCTAGTTCATCATCGGCCATAACGTCCGTTATACTCAGCATTAGCATTTCATCATCGGAAAATCCATTTCCACTTCCGCTTGGACTACAAAGAGAATCTATACTTCTCTCTGGACTCTAGAACAATAATAGACAACGTTTTTCTCAATCAAAAATTATAGAAATCAATTACAATTTTTTTCTATCCAGAAAACTTCTTTTGTTCGAAAAATAAAATAAATTCAATCTAAAATAGTTTAAAGAGTAGAAAAAGTAAAATTAAAATTTTTTAAATTAAAATTATAAAAATTACCCTGCTGAGTGTTGGCGAATGAAGTTCAGTACTACAACTCCCTCGACTCGGCGAATCACGATAAATAAATGGATCACGATCTTGAATTGAAATATCCAAATCCTTATTTTTTAATGAATCGCCAAGAATTGAATGCTCCTGATGATTTCTAACGAGACTTGAATCAGTGAGATCGGCAACTGGCAATTCTGTTTGAAGTTCCGAGCTCAATAGTGGACAGTAACTTTCATTTTCGAGAATAAAATCATCCAACATATCGGAAAGGAATGGAGGATCCTCAAGTGGAACACAAACATCACCGGCCGTTGGTGCCAAATGTGTCAAATCCTCTGGTTCGTCTTTCAACACTGAAAAAAGAAAGCAAAAAAATATTGAAAAAATTAATGAGATTAATTATAAGAAATTAATTGTCACAGCTTTCAAGTGATACTCGCTTTGTTTATTGCAACAAAAACAGCGTTTTATCCAACTGCAAAAATGAATGACGTAGAATTCTCGAAAACTATAAAAATAAAAACTATAATAATGAAAAAATAATGTATATTTATTTTTTTTGGAAAATATTTAATAGACAAATGGAGAGTTTTTAGACTAATTTTGTATTCTATTGAAGAAGTTTTAGTGATTAAAATCTAAAATGCGTGTTTGGAACTATTAGGAAAGAATTTAGTGCGATTAAATCAAAAAATTATTTTGCGCAGTTAGAAAATAGTTTCAACTTTGTATTTATGAATTATTTCCAAAAAAAAATAGTTTCCCATAGCAAATTATTTTCTACTTTGAAGAATTTTATTACATATTTTTACAATTGGGAATGATTAAATAAAGGAATTTTTCGCTCTGCAGTTTTTAATTTATTTTCAATTAAAAAATTTCTCACTATTATAAATAATTATTTATTGGATAAAAGTTACATTTTTTCAAATTCTGAAGCCAAATAGTAAAAAAGAACTTGTTTCAAATCAAGTTGAGTGTAATTTGCACTAAAAAAAATTTTGAATTTAGTTTTTTCATTAATAATTAATAATTAGTAATATTTTGCAAAATAAAAAATTTTATATTTTCAAACATAAAAACTTCAATATTAGAATAATTTCAGATTAAAAATTTTTTAAATTCCCTTATTAAGTACACAATTAATTGTTCTTGTTTATTATTTTCAAACCAATTTTAATAAAACTTCACAAATTTCAATTATTTTCTAAAGTTTTGATAAAATTCTTCCTAACAATTCAATTATTTTTATAAATTCTAAAATTCTTTGCAAGAATTAAATTATTTTTATAAATAATAAAATTTTTCTCCAAAATTCCATTATTTTCAAAAATTTTAATAAAATTCTTGGTAAAATTTCAATTATTTTCATAAACTTTTCTCAATTCAATCAAATTTTTTACAGAGATTCAATTATTTTTAATACAATTTTAATCTAGTTTCTTGAAAAATGAAATTAAAATTGTATTAAAAATAATTGAATAATTGAATAAAAATAATTGAATTCAATTATTTTTAATACAATTTTAATCTAATTTCTCGAAAAATGAAATTAAAATTGTATTAAAAATAATTGAATAATAATTGAATAAAAATAATTGAATTCAATTATTTTTAATACAATTTTAATATAATTTCTCGAAAAATAAAATTAAAATTGTATTAAAAATAATTGAATCTCTGTAAAAAATTTGATTGAATTGAGAAAATTTTTCTCCAAAATTCAATTATTTTCAAAAATTTTAATAAAATTCTTTTGAGAGAATTCAATTATTTTCAAAAAGTTGGATAAAATCTTGCAAAGGAATTTAATTATTTTCAAAATTTTTTGATAAATACTTCGCAAGAATTCATTGATTCTCAATAAGTTAATTTTTAAATTGAAAACATTTACATAGAAAAATTATTAGAAAATTTCGGAAAGAATTAAAAATGAAGCATCAAAATCATAAATTTGTTACAATTAAATTGAAGAAGAATAAAAACGAAATTAGATTCGTTTAAAGAAACAACTTCTTTCAAGTCAATTAAAAAATCTTTCAAATTAGTTTTTCCATTAATAATTTATAAATTGTTAAATAAATAAATAAATAAATAAAAAATAAATAATTTCCTATTAAATTATATTAACATTATTAATAGAAAATTAAATTATTCTAAACAATTTTATAAGAATTTTTGTAAATAATTATATTTTTTTAAAGAATTTTATTAAATTAAAAAAAAATAATACAATTTTTTTAAATAATTTTCAATAAAAAATTTTGAAAATAGTTAAAATTTACAAAGAATTTTATTAAAAACTTTTGAGAACAATAAATTGAATTGTTAAGAAAACTTGTATTACAATCTTTAAAAAATAAAAATAATTAAACCTGTTAGAGAAATTTTATTAAAATTATCTTGAATATAATTGAATTTTTTCCGAAAAATTTTATTAAAATTGTATTGAAAATAATTGAATTTCTCAGAAGAATTTTATTATTTACCAAAATAATTGAATTCCTGATCCAAGAATTTTACAATTTATAAAAATAATTGAATTGTTTCAAAGAATTTTATCGGAATTGTTGAAAATAATTGAATTTTTATTAAAACTCTTGAAATTAATTAAATTTAAATAATATTTTAAAAAATAATTGTATTCTTTCGAGAAATCTTATTAAAATTGTATTAAAAATAATTGAATTCCTCCGAAACGTTTTATTATTTATGAAAATAATTGAATTCCTTTGACGAATTTTATTATTAATGAAAATATTTTTATCTTGCAAAGAATTTTCTTGTTTATGAAAATTTGAATTCTTGCCGAAGATTTTACAATTCATAAAAATAATTGAATTGTTTCGAAGAATTTTATCTGAATTTTTGAAATAATTGAATTTTTTGAAGGAATTTTATTAAAATTTTTGAAACTAATGATTTTTTTAAAAGAATTTCATCAAAATTGTCGAAAATAATTGAATTTATATTAAAATTTGTGAAAATGATGATGATTTTTTAAAAAGAATTTCATCAAAATTGTCGAAAATAATTGAATTTATATTAAAATTCTTGAAAAAACTTTAAAATTAATATTTTTAAAAATAATTGTATATAAAAGAAATTTTATTAAAATTGTATTTAAAATAATTGAATTGCTCTAAAAAAATATTATTATTTATGAAAATAATGAAATTCTAGCGAAAAATAAATTTTATTAAAATTTTTGTATAATAAAGAAGAATATTTAATGTTATGTACTCAATGAGTGAATTCTTTAAATTTCGAATCTGTAATCATTCGAAAATAATACCTAATCGAAATATATTTCTTGTTAATTAAGTTCACAAATCATAGATTCGTTAATTAAATTAGAGAAGTACGGAAAATAAATTAGATTCGTTTATTTAAACATTCAAGAATGGAATTATGAGCAGTGTTTTCCCATTAATTTTCCGAGAGGGAAAGTTTTAATAATCAAATGAAACAAATATATCTTAAAAACCACGAAGGTAAATTAAAAATTGAAAACTGCAGATATATGAAGAAGAGATGAGATAGTGATGAGATATTTTTTGAGTTGCCGACTAATGAAATTGCAAACATTGAAATGAATAATTCTAAAGGCAAAAAGCATTTTCTTTGATTAATATTACTAAAAGCGTGTGTTTTAAATTGAGAGACAGAGAAAGAGAAAAAACTATGTAACAATATCAATTTTAAAATTTGTATTTTACGTTTCTGAAGTTTTGAACGTTCAATTAAAAGCCGATATTTTTCTATTTGCTATTTTTATTTAATAGTAGAAACTTTTAATTTGTTTTTTAATAAAAAAATATTTTGTATATAAAAGAAAATTAGTTTTTAATTAAATAAAAAATGTTGAATTTTTTACATTTATTTTTCCTTTAAAAAATATTTTGAATATAAAAGAAAATTAGTTTATAACTAAATAAAAAATGTTGAATTTTTTACATTTTTCCCTTTTGTATAGAAATTTGTTTTTATTAATAAATAAAAAATTTCCTTTATTCGAACGTTCGAAATTTTAGTGAAACATATTTTTTAAAAAAATGTAATTTTGACAAACTGATGTTTTTCAAATTGAAAAATTATTTACAAAGAATTAATTTTTGCTAAATAGTGTTAAATATTCTTAATTCAATTTTATTTAATTGAAATTAATCAAAATTAATAATTTAGTTAGTTGATTTTTAAATAATTTTAAGGACTTACTGGTGAGGCCAGGTTGATCTTCACTGTAAGTAAGAAAGCCCGTATTCATGTCCTCGGTACGAGGAGCAAAAATACTTGCTGTCGCTGTTTGTGGCAGTGGTCTGCCAATTTGTGACAATTGACTGAGCTGATCCTGATTAATTCCAAAAACAGGCGATGTTGGAAGAAAGTATGGGAAATTATCAATATTTTCCGAAACGGAATTATTGCGCTGTGAAATTGGTTCCAATTCTTCTTCTCCTTCGGATTTATCCTAAAAAAAAGAAGACAATAATTTCTACATTAATTTTTCTTCTGCAAAAATACCGTTTATGCCCCAATTTTAATTTTTACTGCAGGGTTGCCACACTTTTACTCATTTCAAATTCCCTGACTTTTCCAGGTTTTCCAAGTTAAAAAACTTAATAATTTAATTTTTCCAGGTTTTTAAAACTACATTTATATTTTACAAAATTAAATAATTAGCCATTATAATTTTTCCATAAGAATTACTTTCATCACTTAAATTCAATTATTGTTTTCCAGAATTTTAAACTAACATTCTTCTTTAAATTAATTATTTTTACTAATTTTTGAAAAATTTCATTGAAAATTTTCAAATCTTTTTGTTTACAATTCAATTTTACGAAATTTCATCGATTATTCAGAAATTCTTCAATCAAATTTAATAATATATTAGATAATAAAAACTTGAAATAATTTTTTAAAAAATCCGCAATTAAACTTTCTCAAAAAAATTAATTCCACAAAATTGTTAGTTAAAAATATAAAATATTCAGATTTTCAAAGATTTTAATTTGAAACCTTTACAAAATTCAATTATTTCTAAAAATTCACGCTCTAATGCTTTTAATATTTAATTATTATCTAAAATTTTAACTGAAATCCATTTTTATTAGAAAATTCTACGAGAATTCAATTATTTAAATTCAAAAATAATCTATTGAATAATTGAATGTTTCTTAAAATTCAATTCCCATAAAGAATTTTATTGAATTGAATTGAATTCTTTTGGAAAATTTTATTAAAATAGTAAATATTAAAAATCATTGAATTAAGGAAAATCTTTGAAAAAAATAATAAAATTTCGGAGAAGAATTTAATTATTTCTAAAAATAATTGAATTTTGAGGAGAATTTAAAAAAAAATTTTGAACATAATTGAATTTCTGCGAAGAAAATTTTATTACTTTTGAAAAATCCTAGTTCGAGCCTAGCTTTTGTATTTTCTATTAAATTTCCTCGTAAATTTAGTCTAAAAATTATTTTTTTTACAATTTTTTGTTCCATTTTCTGTGCCACATTTTTTATTTGCAAAATGCTGAATTATAGAAATTAGAAAAAAAACGAAAAAGCAGTCGGAAAAAAAAACTAATTTTTCAGTAGCAATTAATTTCAAATTTGGTGGAAAGTTAATAAACAATAGGAAAAAAAATTTCAAAACAAATATTAGACGAGAAAAGAAAAGCGGCTTTTTTTCCAACAAAAATCGTTGATTGATATTTTTGTTTATTACTGAAAATTTTTATTAGAAAATTGTACGAGAATTCAATTATTTAAATACAAAAATAAATAATTTATTGAAGAATTGAATATTTTTTAAAAATTGAACTCTAATAAAGAATTTAATCAACAAATTTTTAAATAGGTAATTAAAATTCTTTTGGCGAATTTCAATCAAATTTTGAAGAATAATTTCATTTTTCGAGAAATTAGATTAAAATTGTATTGAAAATAATTGAATCTCTGTAAAAAATTTGATTGAATTGAGAAAAGTTTTTGAAAATAATTAAAATTTTACAAAGAATTTTATTACAATTTTTGAAAATATTTGAATTATGAAGAAAAATTTTCTCAATTCAATCAAATTTTTTACAGAGATTCAATTATTTCTATTTAATTATTCAATTATTTTTAATACAATTTTAATTTCATTTTTCGAGAAATTGGATTAAAATTGTATTAAAAATAATTGAATCTCTGTAAAAATTTGTTTGAATTCAGAAAAGTTTTTGGAAATAATGGAAATTTTACCAAGAATTTTATTAAAATTTTTGAAAATAATGGAATTTTGGAGAAAAATTATTTTATTATTTATAAAGATAATTGTAATTTTGAAGAGAATTTTTTTAAACGTTCGACCATAATTGAATTTCTGCGAAGAATTTTATTAAAATTTATATTAAAAATAATTGAAATTCTGCGATGAGATTTGTTATTTATGAAAATAATTTAATCTCTGTAAAAAATTTGATTATTTTTGAAAGTATATTTGAATTATTGCGAAGAAATTTATAAAGAATTTGTGAATACCTATTAGAATTCCTGGGAAATTTTTATTATTATTAATTCATTCATTCAAAATTGAAATTTTACAGAATTTCAAATTACAACCTTTTAAAGTTTATCTATTTATGAAAATTGTAAACGCAAATCTTTTAAAATCCAATTAATTTTGAAATATTTAAGAAAAACTAATTTTCAAGAATAGGCAAAATAACTTTAGAAAACAATGATTTTCCAGGATTCCGATTAAAATTCCCTGACTTTTCCAGGTTTTTTTCAAGGTTTATAAAATTCCCTGACATTTCCAGGTTTTCCAGATTTCCAGGTTGTGTTGCAACCTTGTATTATTAAATTGAATTCTACTATTAAATTCTATTTAATTAATTTTAATTTATGTGGTAGAATTTCAATTTCTAAAGTTTAGATTAAAAAAAATAATTTTTCTTCACAATTTACCTGTTCAGAAGAATTGTTTTCGTTACAATTTTGTGAAATTGTAATTGTCTCGGTAATTTCCTTCAATTGATTGACTTGCTTTGGAGAATAATTTTCTTCGGCTTCATCGAGTATATTGTCAAAGAGATTTTCCTTTTTGTTTGATTCCTTCAAGAATTGATTGAGAGGATCGGATGTTGGTTGTGGTTTGACTATTTGCACTTTTGGCGTTGGACGTTGTTCCAAAATGTTGCTCGGCTCCAAAAGATCAACTAACTCCAAAAGCGGTGGACGAAGTGTATTATTGTCCAATGAAACGGTGATCTCCTCCTCGTTTATTGACACTTCTCTCGCTTCAAGTTGACGAATACTGTAAATTTCGTCCTCACACTCCACTCCACTGAAACATTTTTATTGACACATTATTAAAATTCATATTTTTTGTTATATTTAAGAACCAAATTTTTTCTTTTTTAATTCTCTTCTCTCACGGAAATTTTGGATTCTAGCAAATTTTTTTTTCAGTTTCATTGAAAACAATTATTTTTGATATTGATTAAAATTTATAGTAGTCAGAATTTTTTTTTGAGTTACAATTTGGGAAAAATTACAATTTGGAAAGAATTCGAATTGGAAAGAATTCAATTAGGAAAAATTATAATTCGCAAAGTATTCAATTTGGGAAAATTACACTTTGGAAAGAATTCAATTTGGAAAAATTACAATTTGGAAAGAATTCAATTTGGAAAAATTACAATTAGGAAAGTATTCAATTTGGAAAAATTAAAATTGGGAAAAAATTCAATTTGGAAAAATTTAGAAAAATTACTCTTTAGAAAGAATTCTATTTAGAAAAATTACAATTTGGAAAGAATTCAATTTGGGAAAAATTCAATTTGGAAAAATTAAAATTGGGAAAAAATTCAATTTAGAAAATTTTAGAAAAATTACTGTTTAGAAAGAATTCAACTTGGAAAAATTACAATATAAAAAGAATTTAAATTGAAAAAAATTCAGTTCGTAAAAAATGTAATTTGTGAAAATTACAAAGTAAAATTGACAATTTATTAAAAATAAAATTTTTTTCTTTCATCACAATTAGAAAAGAATTCAATTTGGAAAAATTAAAATTGGGAAAAAATTGAATTTGGAAAAATTACACTTTAGAAAGAATTAAATTTGGAAAAAATTCAGTTCGGAAAAAATGTAATTTGTGAAAATTACAAAATTGTAAAAATAAATATACTGAAATTTACAGAATTAAAATTACAATTCTGGAGTTTAAATAAATAAATACTGACTAAATAAATATTTGAATAAAATTTGTAATTTGTAAAATTGACAATTTATTTTTTAAAAAAATTTGTTTTCTTTCACTAAAAGGAAAAAGAGAATTTTCGTGAGAGAAAGATTAATAAATGAGAGGGGCTTATTAAACAACCGAGTTTTATTGATTCTGAAGAGATGAGGGAAAAATCTGATGCAAAAATCCGTTGAATATGTAACTCTGACGCAAGCACCGCTCGCAAATCGAGGTCTAAACTGTCTTCAACCGGTCGCAACTATCTAATAACTGTGTAAAATTGACCCTACGAAGACACAATTCACAATAAAAAAAATAAAAATTAAAAAAAATTGGTCCATTTCCGATAATCACGAATTTTCATTTTCAATTTACTCTCAAAGAAATTTGTCAATGAAAATTAATTTCAAGTAATTTAATTACCTGAAATTATTATTAAAATTTATTATTTAATACTTTAGAAACAATTTATTTATTTATTTAAATTTAAATTTTATTAAAATTTTATTAAAAAGTGGAAAAAATTGCACTAAATTATTATTCTACTAGAGAAAAAATAATTGAGTGGAAAAATTTTTACATAGAAATAATAATCAATGAGTGGAAAAATTATTATTTACTTCTATTATTTTACTATTTAGCAGAGACAAAATTTTATTTTACCACTAAGCAGATAAAAATAAAAAATTATTAATTCACTACTTATATGAGAATAATAATTATTTTACTAGAAATAATAATGAACGATTGGGAAAAATTAGTATTTTACAATTAGGTGAATTTATTTTATTTATAATTTATTTTATTAGAAATAATAATTACGGAGTGGAAAAAATTATTTTACTATTTAGCGAATAATAATTATTTTTCTAGAAATATTGAGTGGAAAAAAATTATTATTTTACCATTTAGCGAAGAATAATTTTACTAGAATTCAAAATCGAGTGGAAAAATTATTATTTTACTATTTAGCGAAAAATAAAATTGTTTTGTTAAAAATAATAATTAATAAAAGGGAAAAAATTATTACTTTAATATTTAGCGAATAATAATTTTACAAGAATTAAAAATTAACAAGTGGAAAAATTATTATTTTACAATTTAGCGATTTTACTAGAATTAAAAATTAATAAAATTAATTTTTACTGAGTTAAAAAAAATTAATATTTTACTAAATTTATCAATTAAAAAATTATTTTCTAGGAAATAATAATTTTACTAGAATTAAAAATTAACGAGTGGGAAAATTAATTGGGAAAATTAATTTTGGAAAAATTATTTCACGACTAAGATAATTATTATTTCACTATTTGTAGAAAATAATAATTAGTAGGAACAAAGTATTGTTAATAAACTTTTTTGAAAATATGGAGGAAATATTTTTTTTCTATCTAACATTTAAAAATCGAGTTTTTTTTTGTGGTAATTTTTTTGATTAACGGTGAGCCGAAGGGAAAAATTTAATTGGACTTTTTTTCTGTTTAAGAAGCAAAAGATAAATAAGATTCTTTTAAGGATGAAGATTAAAATCTTTTGAACCCCTGGGTGTACTATATACTCGAGTGGTGCAATTCTCGGTGACAACTAACCAAAGATTTCATTTCGATGAGCAGGGACGCGCAATATTCTAACGCAGTGATGATGAAATCCTCAGGATTGCTTGCTGGCCTGATTGCGCATGATATATTTTGATATTTTTTTAAATTAGTCCTTTTCGTTTTTTTTTTTTTTTTATTTGCCTTAAACGCTTCTGAAGTCATAATAAATATTAAAGCAAATAATAATAACAAAAATAAAATGATAATAATTTTTAATTAATAATTTAATATTCATAATAATTAAACTAATAATAATAATAATTTTTCCAAATTGAATTTTTTCCAAATTGGAATTTAAAAAAGGAAAAAAAATAATAAATAAAATAATTGATTTTGGAGGGAAAATAAATTTCTCTGCGTGAAAAGAGGAGAAAATTATTATTTTCAAATACGAAAATTAAATAAATAAATAATTGACATTAATTTTTGTTTTGACTGAAAATGAAATGTTCAATGAAACGATTTGTCCCATTTGCGCAACTATAGTACTTAATAAAGTCAATTGGGATCGTGCTAGATGATTCTCATACAAATGATAAGATAGTATTTTTGCATAGAGTTTAGTGTCACATGGCACTCATAGAAATTGTTAATTTTTTTCTTTTTTTTTTAATTCTTAAATTCTAATTTCCCCCGTAATTAATAACTTGAGAGGAAAAAAAGAAATTTATTGTATTTTTCCAGGAGAGATAGATATTTGCAATTTTTTTCTTGTTTCTCTTGCAAAAAATGTATATTTTTTTTGAAAATTCTTATTGTTTGTAATTAATATCTTTTACTCGCTTTTGCTTGAGTTTCCAAGTTCGCGATCATAAAAATGCAATATATACGTATTTATATTGAACAAACAAATCTTATAAGCCTATTATCATCAGACTATTGAATAATAAAATGAATGTGTTTTATAAATATAGTTTCTTATACAATGTTCGTTTTAAAATCTTCCACTGACGATAGTAAAATTTATAATGTTTACTCTAAAAAAAGAATAAATATTAAAAAACTAAATTTTGAATAATAATTGTTAAATTAATTATTTTTTCAAATAGGTTTAAAAATTTTGTAGATTCAAACGAATGACAATATTTTTTACTCCATTTAATTAATTTTGTTACTTCTTTTGACTTTAATTTTATTTAATTAATTAATTAATTAATTTTTTTTTATTTAATTTGAATTTTATTTAAAAAATTAATTCCTAACCAAATTAAATATTTAATTTATATTATTTTTACAATAATTATAATTTTTATTTAATTCGTTTGAATCAAATAAAATTTTTTTTTAGTGTAAGACAATAATAACAACAGTAGAAATATTGAATATAATTATAAAATGTTGATAATAATAATAATAATAATAATAATAATAATAATAATAATAATAATTTTAATAAATAAATAAATAATAATAACGAGACTTTTGACTCACTTTTTATAAGGGATGAAAATGAAAAAGAAAAAATTCACCAATATTTTGATAACACTTCTCATATCGCCAATAAAATTAATTATAGTTGAAATCATATTTATTTACTTATTTCGGCACATTTTAGTTGCTCATAATATTGCATTTGGCGATTGTCCAATATTTTCTAAAGTTTAATTTCAAATTCTTTTTTCCCGACCCTTTAACATACACAGTGCTCTCATTCAATTTTTTTTTTTATTATTATTTATTTATTTCATTTAAAAAATTAAATGTAACAAAAGTCTCCTTAAAAATAATTTTTATATTATTATTTTATAGTTTTATTTATTTATTTATTTATTTATTATAATACCTATTATTCTTATTTTTATTTTTTTTAGAAAAGCAAATTTGACAAAAGTCTCGTTATTATTAACATTACAGTTATCAATTATATATAATTATAATCAAAATTTTTCTAATTATAATAAAAAATAATTTATTATTAAAACAAAATTATTTTTCCACAATATATTTAATAAAATTAACTCCAAAAATATGTTCAGGTGGAAAAAAATTGAGAAAATAGAATATAATATTTTTTACAATAAAATAACGAAGAAATAAATAAAATAATGTATATAATGTAATCATATTAGTAAAAAAAATAATATAAATTATTTTTAGTGAAAATATCCCTTTACCTTGAAACTAATCTAGTTACTTAATGAGGCTGATTAAAGAGTCATCATTTATAGAGCATAACGAGCAAATTATTGTTAAAGCAACAATCAAATCTTGAATTTTCATTGTCAATTGAATTTCAAAATTTAGATTCAAATTACTAATATTTATTAATAATAATCTTCGATTTATTATGCTATTAAAAAAGTGGAGAGCAATCATTATTAAATAACAAAAAAAAAAATTTTTAATAAATTTTCTATTATTTCGAAGATATAATTAAAATTCCTTTATTATTATTATTTTTATAACTTTTTTTATTAATAATATTTAGAAAGTAATTTTTTTAATATTATTATTTTTTTCTTTTTTTTAATATTACTTTTTATTTCTTTTTTCATAGTT